TCTTCCTAAGGCACATTTTTCAAATCTATTATTGAGGCTGGAATTAGGTTGTTTGAAATCAGTTAATATTGTTTTAAGCGTTTTGAGGGTGGTGCTAAACTCATGCTACCAAATGATACAACTAAACGCCGGCACTACTAAAATCTCTTGCAGCTATTTTGGTCAAACTTATAAATATCTTTATGCACAATCTCATGCAATATTGTGGAGGTTAATTGAATGAATCTCTCTCAACTATCAAATCAAATTTTAGCTCAAAATCTCTGAAACTGACTGAGTTAGAAGCATTTTAGTGTTGGCTTATGTCGATTAGCTGTGCTAGCCAAACTGAACTGGACTGACTTGAACAGTAAATCACATGTTCATGGAGTGATTAGTTCCTGAAAGTTTCATTTTAATCTGTCCATTAGTTCATTAGACAGTTTCATCTAACGGACATTGTTAAATTCAAACAGTTAATGGCCAAATTTCAAACACATTCGTGTGTTCTGGAACAGTTACAGCTACCCAACAAACTTGGCTTCACTAATTGAGTTATAGCCATTTATAAGGTTTTTAAGTTGCTCGGATGTGGCAGCCATCTTGAATCAAACTACTGTAATTTCCAGCCGTTACTTTTGTCACCGGCTTTGAACCCTGCAGCTCATACAACGCTGTGGCTAATTTATGGATTTTTTACATTGAATTGTTTTTTGATGGGTTAACGAGCTTCATGCCACCAAAACATCCTCATCACACACGGGCACGCTCATGCATGCCTAGTGCACGTCTCTCTTGGGCTGTGGGTCCCCGTGACTCATTGAGACCACCGGTATAAATATAAGTTTTTTAAAAATCTGACCCATGAAACTACCAAACAAGTCCCAGTGGACCAATGAAACGTGGAATTACTGTAAATCCAACACGCTAACTGACTTCAGATCAGTTATTTCATGCTTCATGCACACGCCCTCATCATGGAAAACACAAAGAAATGCATCTTCCAGGTTAAAGGGACTTCATGTGGCTGTCGAAGAAGGAAATGCAGCAGCTGCACGTAAGCTTGGTATGTTAATTTATTTTAACCAGCCGTGTTACATCACTGTTCAGGAAAAAAAACATTTTCTGTACGTATTTGTGTATGTATTTAATTAAAAGATTAAAAAATCTTTCAGAGTAAATCTCTCGTGACAACGTGAACACCCACAACTTATAGACAAGCACAAGCTATATATGAACAAAAGTGTTGTTTTGTTTTAGTGGGTGTGGCTTATATTCAGGTGCGCTCAGTAGTCTGGAAATGACGGTAACTCCAAAAAATAATCACTTGTAGATGTTTATCCACTTGTGGCGTTTTGCAAGTTTCAGTAAAATACATCTAGTGGTTCATGAGATATTTTGCTAAAAATCATGTACACGTGAGCAAAAACCTTGTCCCAGCCATTTTACTTTTAATGTAATAAATATTAAAACACATTTCAGTTTGTTGTCTTGTTTGTTTTTCCAACATATTATGTGTTAGAAACACAAAATATATGTGATTTGATTCAAATTCTCACTTACATCTTGTTTTAGCACTTGGTAATGCCGACTGGGGGGTCATGTAACATGGCATCAGTCCCAGTGGTGCAGCAGATGGGGGCACTTTAGCCACATTTAAGATTTATAAAAACGTGACACACACAAATAAATGTGGCCAGTGTTGCTTCAACATCTGAGAACACTATTTAACTCACCCCATCTCGGGAAGTTTTCACACTTCATTAACCTCCAGGGCCACAGATTCCCTGGGAAGTCAAGGAGGGGGGGTGCTTGTGTTTTTCATCTAAATCGCCACGAGGGGGGTGATCTCCCAGAGACAACATTTACATGCGCACAGTACACCAGATAATAAGTGATATCGTGGTCGGGTGCGATTCAGCATGCTTCTCATGTCTCCGTCACAAATATCCACGTAGGCACCAAGAAATGATTTGGATGTTGGTGCGAAACACCAGCTTCATGTCAAGAAACAACCGGTGCGATGAAGTCAAGTTTATTAGTGTCAGACCGATTCGACTCTCGCCACCCACCAGCAGTCCAGCATTAAATGCACTGCTTTTTGTGTTGACACCTTCAGAACAATCTTTTACTTTGCCAAGAATAAATGTGACAGTGAATGTGATTAGGCACATAAAAACATACCTGATTGAATCCTTGATCACAATGTGTGCACGTTTTCATGTGAAGAATCACAACGCAGGACTGTGTTCAGCTTCAACTTACTAAGGATTCACTCACTCGGTCTTTTGTGGTTTCTGTTAAATAACTGGGTGGACATTTTGTTTCCAAATGGGTTAAACCGGAGTTTTGTCAAGAAAATATTATTTTAGTGCCATCCTTTTATTCAAATGTCTTGTGCTTTGTTGGAGGTGAACAAAAAACTCAACTTAAACATGAAAGAAGTGTGTGGAAAATGTACAAGATCTTTGTCTGAAGCCTGAATTGTTCGTATCTAAAATAAAACTTTGGAACATTGTTCACCCAGGGTTGGGTCGCCAACAAAAAGGGGGAAGAAGATCAAAGTTTTTGTCGAAACAACTTTTAGTCATAATTAAAGGGACCAAAGTGTCCAACAAAATTAG